CTCAAATGAAGTATAAAACTGTGCCAAATCAGTAGTATCAGTTGATTCATCCAAAGCAATTGAACAATACATAGTTTCCTTTTGAAGTATTGCATGAAATTGTGCTGTTAAGTTGAAGGCTAATTCATGCTGCCTATCAGTTACGGTTTTCCTTGAAACAGGCAGTTGTTTGTACTTTTAAATGTTATTGGGGTCTAAACATCCTTCAACAATGAATTCTTTCACAATTTCTGCATCACTGAATGGCTTCACTTTTTTCCTGAGTATATAAGCTACTTTATAAGTTACTCCAGCGGCATTATTTCCAAGTCTTATTGCTGCTTGAAAGAATTGTCTTTGCTTTTGCTTTTCATCTTTTAATTTCTACAATACAATATTTCGAGCCTCTCCCTCTAATTTAAAATATTTGTGGTCCTTATGAGTGTTATAATGCTGATGAGTATTGAATTTCTTTAATGTTGTTGTTGCAGTATCACAAAGCAAGCAAATCATCTTATCTTTAGCAGAAACAAGATAATATTGCAGTGCCCAATCCTCATTAAAAATCTGTTTTCTTCCTTCAGTGTTCTCTTTGACATAATGAGTTGTTAATCAGACAGAATTAAAAAATACTGTTGAGTTGTGCAGCTACTTACAAATGTCACTTCAAATAGAAACACAATACACCGTTGTCAAAAGCTGATAACAGATTGGTATACTCAACCCCCATAACCTCTAGCGAATCAGCCTCATGCGGTAGTGGCATCAGTCAGGCAGCAAAGTTAAATAAAAATACAAAAGACAAACAAAAATGTATTAATAAAAATAAAAGGATTTGTTCTGTAAAATTTGGATTCAATCAAAAGGCTTCACTTAAGGACCTAGAAGGCCACGTGTGGCCTTAAGGCTGCAGGTTCCCCACCCCTGCTCTTACCCTTGTCTGGTCATAAGCTCTTCCTTTATCCGAAGTTTCAAAAGGCATTTCCTTCTTTGGTCTTCTAATTTCTTTATAAGATGACCTTTTATATCTAGGTCATGTATCCATTTGGATCTTATTGTGGTATATGATTTTGTAGTATATGATGCGGTATGAGATCTTAGTCTAAACCAGTTTTCTTGGCAATTTCTGTCAAATAGTGAGTTCTTTATCCCAGGAGCTGAGGTCTTTGGGTTTATCAAACACTTATGTTCCTTTACTTCTATATGTTGTGTACCTAATCTAATCTACTGATCAGCTTTTCTATAGTTATGATGATTGCTGCTTTGGTGATCTGGTATGGGCAAGACCTTCCTTCCCATTTTTTTCATTATTTCTCTTAAGAATATTGACCTTTTTTGTTCCTTCAGATCAAGCAATAGCTATTATCTCTAGGATCAAGTATAAGGTGCTCTGGTTTGTATTAAATCTCTTAATAAATGAGACCCTTCTTTCCTTTTTAGTCTTCTTATATTTTCCTATCCTCACTGGTCTACCTGCTGTTTTGGGAATATAGCATAGTTATCTCCCATCTCCCTTCCTTTGCATCAGCTGTTGCCCATGTCTGAGATTCTCTGTCCTCTTACCTTTGACTCTAAAGCGTCTTCAAGACCACCTTCTACAAAGCATCTTTCTCTTTTTTCCCAACCACCACTGACTTCCCCCTCTGAGATTACCTTTCATTTAATTTCTGTATATCTTATTTACATGTTGTCTGTATATATTTTTGTTATTTACATATTGTCTCTCCCATTAGAATGTGAGACTCTTAAGGTGAAGGACTGTGTTTTTGGTTTTATTTGTGTCCCAGTGCTTACCATAGTGCCTAATACATAGTCAGTGCTTGTGGTTTTGTTTGTTTGTTTGTTTGTTTTATCTTTGGTGAGGCAATTGGGGTTAAGTGACTTGCCCAGGGTCACACAGCTAGTAAGTTGTCAAGTGTCTGGTCTGAGACCAGATTTGAACTCAAGTCTTCTTAACTCCAGGGCCAGTGTTCTATCTACTGTGCCACCTAGCTGCCCTGTAGTTAGTGCTTGTTAATTAAACATAGTAAAAAAAAAAAGCATAATAAATAATATAATGATAGACACAATAAAGGCAGAAATATACACCAGATGGATGGGGAAACTGACCCTCCTTCCTTTTCTTACCTTTTGCTCTGGCTCAAATTCATTTGCATGCCAAGCCAGAGGGAAGTCTTAGAACCTTCTAACCAGAAATCATATAGTTGTCCAGGAAAAAAAAAAACAACTATGATTTTTAGCTCCCAACAAAAGTATTAAAAGAAAAGAAGTAACCTAGTATGGTGGTATTCTGATTTTAATTAGCTGGCAGCGGTAGCTCATAGCCTTTAACTATAACTAAAGAGCAGTCCTATCAGGGATAAGCTTTCTAGTCATTATACTCCTGTAGACCAGAGCTGAGATTGCTGGTAGGTAGCCCAAACCGGATGCAGGAGCTAGGAGCAATGCCCCGCAGCAACCATGAGACCAGTAGAATATGACACATCCTGGGGAGAGCAGAGAAAAGAGAGGTGGGAAGAATTAGAAATGTGACACCTAGTGGTAAACAGCAGAGGTACAACAGTCCAAGAGAGCAGTGTAAGGCATCATAAGACAGTGAACCTACCTACAGAGGTATTCAAACAGGTTAAATAACTTGCCCAGGTGATAAGCAGTGCCTTGGCTGGCAACCTTGGGAGTTACTCTGGCAATGCAACATCTGAGGCATATAGTAGTCCTACAAAGTTGTCTTTACCTCCTGGGATAATAAGTGATGAGTCATTTTAAAAAATATTTTAGGATGTTATTAATGGGTGCTTACGAGTCTTTGTTTTTTAAGCATTTCTTTTTTTGTAGAGAAAATAAATAGTTGTCTTATCCAGTATCCATTGTCTAGTTGTCTAATGGACACTTCTGAGAAGTCTTTCTTAATCCCGTTTGGGGAGATCATAGACAACAACTTTATTTTGGATATCTTCCTTAGAGCTCTAGAGAGGAGGCAATGAACCAAAAAGCATGAGAAAAAAGCCTAATCTCCTCTCTTTTTTTGCACTTAATAGTATTTTTTTTCCAATTACATGTAAAGATGGTTTTCAGCATTCATTTTCATAAGATTTTGAGTTCCAAATTTTTTTCTCTCCCTCCCCCTTCTCCAAGACAAGCAATCTAATATAGGTTATACATATACAATCATGTTAAACACATTTCCACATTAGTCATGTTGTGAAAGAAGAATCAGAACAAAAGGGAAAAACCATGAGGAAGAAAAAACAACCCCCAAAAGTGAAAATGGTATGCTTTTTCCATCTGCATTCAGACTCCATAGTTCTTTCTCTGGATGTGGATAGCATTTTCCATCATGCGTCTTTTGGAATTGTCTCAGATCATTATATTACTGAGAAGAGCCAAGTCTATCAAAGTTGATCATCACACAATGTTGCTGTTATTGTATATAACATTCTCCTGGCTCTGCTCCCTTCACTCAGCATCAGTCCATACAAATCTTTCCAGGTTTTTCTGAAGTCCGCATGTTCATCATTTCTTATAGCACAACAGTATTCCATTACATTCATATACCACAACTCATTCAGCTATTCCTCCCATTGATGGGCACCCCCTCAGTTCCCAGTTCTTTGCTACCACAAAAGAGCTGCTATAAATATTTTTGTATGTGTGGATCCTTCTCCCTTTTTTTTTTAATCTCTTTGGGATATAAACCTAGTAGTGGTATTACTGGGTCAAAGTGTATGCACACTTTTATAGCCTTTTGGGCATAGTTCCACAATACTCTCTAGAATGGTTAGATCAGTTCACAACTCCATCAATAATGCACCTAATCCCCTTTCTTTGGGGTTAGGCTCCCCTGAGACTGAATTTAATCTGTTTCAGCTGACAGCCAGAGCCCCTTTTGCTGGGAATGGAGTCTTCCTGGGCTATGGGTAATAATATGTAGGAATTCAATAGGCAAAAGGGAGATGAAGGACATTCCAGGTATAGGGAATAATGTGGGTGAGACACCAAGTCAGGAAAGTGATGGCTTTTGAGAGATGTAATATGGTATAAGGGAAAGAGTGCTAGAGCTGGAGTACTTAGGTTCAAATCCTGTCTCTGTAACTTATTACCTATCTGACCTTGGGAAAATCACTTAACCTCTCTGGGCCTCAGTTTCTTCCTCTGTAAAAGGCAGGATTTGGGGCTGGATGCCTTCTTAGGTCACTTCGAAATCTAAATCTCTGGTTCTGTGTTTATCACTCCAAGATGATACCTTCATGCTTAAGCAGTTTGAGAAGTAATTTTTTACATTTTGGAAAATGGGATATGCACGTGGAGTGTGTGTATGTGTGTTTCCTTCTTCCCTTTTTCTTGTAAACTAAAGTAAACTCTAGACTTGGGAAGGTAGCCACACTTCTGTTTAAACCTTCAGCTCTTGCCACTAGAAGGTATCCATAGGATTACTAGTAGTCATCTGCCCATTCCTTCCTTGTAGTATAGGGTGCCATCTCTTCCCAGTCTCTTTCCCCAGAAAAGGTCCCCCAGACTGTGCCTGTGACTACTAATTTGGCGTTTTTTGGTTTGTTACTTCATGAGATTTGATTTCCATCCTTCTCCCTGATGCTCCTACAGCATCCACCCACAATGAGACCCTAATGAAGCTCTAGAGAGGAAAATGAAGGAGCCCATGGCCACTCCTCATTTACTGCTGGCAGGGCTTTTTCTAATTGGATCAGTCTGATTAAAGGGATTAGGGTGACCTCTCTGGCAGATCCTACTTTAATAATCTGCAACATTGAGAATGTTTCTCCTTTGCTCAAACGGGGAGTTCCAGAGACAGCAGTGGGTGCTACTTACCTTTGATGAACTGTGAATTTAATGCCCCTGTTCCTGAGCTCACTGGAGCCCTAGGATAAGGGAGAAGACATGGCAAGACCAGAGAAGGGCTCCCTGCAGACTGGGCCATCCGCCGTGCCCCAAAAGCCTTGAAATCTTTTCTCTAAAGTTCACCAAGTTGAGTCCAGAGCCCAGTTGGGCTCCAGCCAGCAAAAATGGCACTGATGAAAGTCAAATTCGACCAGAAGAAGAGGGTCAAATTAGCCCAGGGGCTCTGGCTTATGAACTGGCTCTCAGTGCTGACTGGAATCATCCTCTTCAGCCTGGGAATATTTCTCAAGATTGAGCTCAAGAAGAGAAGTGAGGTAATGAACAACTCGGAGAGCCATTTTGTGCCCAACTCCCTGATTGGGGTAGGGGTGCTAGCTTGCATCTTCAATGCTCTTGGGGGCAAGATCTGTTATGATGCTCTAGACCCTGCAAAATACTCCAAATGGAAGCCATGGTTGAAGCCCTTCTTGATCATCTGCGTTCTGTTCAACATCTTCCTCTTCTTGGTTTCTCTTTTTTGCTTCCTGATGAGGGGCTCCCTGGAGAATACCCTGGCCCATGGGCTCAAGAATGGCATGAAGTATTATAGGGACACGGACACTCCAGGTCGGTGCTTCATGAAGAAGACTATTGACATGTTGCAGATTGAGTTCAGGTGCTGTGGAAACAATGGCTTCCGGGACTGGTTTGAAGTCCAATGGATCAGCAACAGATACCTGGACTTTGCCTCCAAAGAAGTTAAAGAGTGAGTAGTAGCATGGGGTTTTTTGTTTTGTGTGTGTGTGCGTATGTGTGTGTGTGTGTGTGTGTGTGTGTGTGTGTGTGTGTGTGTGAGAGAGAGAGAGAGAGAGAGTGTATATGTATTTGCATATCCATATGGATGAAGAAGGGAGGCAGTAAGGGTGCCCTTACCTATGACTGGGTTGGGGTTCTTAGGGGAGGAAACCCTGCTAAGTGTCTGGGTCTACTTCATCAGATTGGGAGGGAACTGTTCATTTCCAGATCAGATCTGAGAAATTATTCACCTTCCCAACTTATTCATCAATAGCCATCAGACCAGATTGATTTGGACCTGGATGTTTTATCTAGAAATGCCATCCTGCCCAAATTCAACTATTTTTTTTTCTATTTCCACATCACTACTTATTTTCCAAGATTCTACCACAGAACATCCCATCCCAAGGAAGCCCATTGTTCTTAAATCACAGCAACAAAACAAGACTTTAAATGTTTCTATTGTCTTTGACAAAAAAAAAGATAGCCTCTTTAAGGAAGGAAGAATATTGACCTTCACTTTACATATGGGTCATTTAAAGGACCTCACCCAGCAAGGAAAGTGCTTGTCCAACTTTTAAGTGATATGTAAACATAAGTATATGCTTAGCACAGTGACTGGCTCACAGTAGGTGCCTAATAAATGTTTATTGATTGTTATAAATAAGAAATCATGACTTATTAATTTTATGTTTTCTAACTTGTGGTTAACAATTATAATAATAATACTTTTTGTTTGGTTTAGCAGAAGTGCCTGGCACCTAGTAGTCACTTAGTAAATGTTGATCAACTGATTTCACCAGTGGAACTCCTAGAGTGGAAATTCCTTCTACTAATGCAGATCAGCAACTTGGCAGTAATTTATGATTTTAGGGAGTTGCCTGGTACACTCAGAGGTTCATTGAGTTGCTCAGGGTCACATAAACAATATGTATTGGAGGCAGGATTTGAATCTAGGTCTTACCGGCTCCACGGCTGGTCCATTTCACTACTTTGCTTTTCTGATGTAGTCATCATAGTAAACCAAAATGTCTTTCTGTGTCAAGTGTCTTCCTGTCCTTTTTCTGAACACATGCCCACTGTCCACCCATACCTTTGGTTGCTAGGTTCAAATTCATATCAAAAGAAAGCTATTCAAAGCCAATCTGGTGAATAGGATGAAAGATGCATCCAGGGGAATAGCAGTTTAGGTCCCCACTGATTTTCTTGTATGGCTCGTAAGCTAACTCTGAAGGTCATTTCAAAAGAGGAGATTCAGAGGGAAGACTCTGGCTGGAATGGACATGAAAGGAAAAGAGACAGACCTCCCTCTATTGCACTTGAGAGAGCTGGAGACCTGTCTTCATTTGATACACAAAGGCGACATTATAGGAGCAGATACTGAGCTGTTCTTCAAGTGATAACACTGAGCTACCTGCCCTCTGGTCCCCGTTTTATTAAGAGCCCACAGTGACCAGACGATTGGTTCAGGGCTACTGGTGCAGTAGGTAATTATGACAAAAGGCTTACTCTATGAATCTGAGGCAACTGTGCAGACATTCCAACATTAAATGATGAACTGATGAGCCATGCACCCTGGAGAGAGACAGGCAGAGCTACACTAAGGCACTGCCACAGTAGAGGATACCTGCGTCCCCCTGGCAAGCCTTGTTCCTTCCCACTATCACATTTTTATGTTACCCAGAACTATTTCTGAGACCCATCAGCGTTTCATGACCCTGAGCCCAGATGGTGTCTAGCTCAGGAGGGTAAAAAGAATCACAATGGATTTGGAGCCAAAGAACTGGGGTTGGGATCCCAGCTCTGCCACTAACTGTGTGAACTTGGGCAAGTCAGTTAACCTTCATGGGCCTCAGTTTCCTCATCTTTAAAATGAGGGGGTTGGATTACATCAGGGGTTTTTCACCTTTTTTGTGTCATGGGCTCTTTTGGCAGTCTTGTGGAAGCCTATGCATCTTCTCAGAATAATGGTTTTAAGTACATAAAACAAAATAAATAGGATTACAAAGGAAACCAGTTATACTGAAATAAAGATGTAATCCCCAACCCCCCCCATCCCATCCACAATCACAGACCCTCTAAAATCTAACCATGTACCCCAGGTTAAGAGTCTCTGAGCTGGATGATCTCCTCCAGCTCTAAATCTACGAACTAGATTAGCTAATAATAGCTAACTTTTATATGGTGATTTAAGGTTCACAGAGCACTTTCTATCCTTTATTTCATTTGTTCCTCACAACAGCCCTGTGAGGTAGGTGCTATTATTATCTTCATTTTACACATGAAGAAATTGAGGTTTAGAAAGATTGGGTCCTTCAGAATCATATAATGAGTGAGTGTCTGAGGAAGGATTTGAACCTAGATCTTCCTGTCTCCAAATCCAGCCATCTGAAACGAAAGGTTTGGCTTAGACATCTTTATGAGCTACTGCAGCTTTAAATATGTTAGAATTCTAAGTCCTTTTCCCTCTTTGAGTTTCAGTTTCCCCTTCTGAAAAATGAGAGGTTTGGACTGGGTCATTCCTAAAGTGTCTTCTTAGTAGGCTGTGAGTCTGAACATCTGCAAACTGCAGAGGGTTTGGTTGACTACACCTGAAATGAAAGAAATTCAAACTGAAGGTCATTGCTGGAGGATTTTGTTTTCTTCTTGCATGGGGATTATAGATGTAAATCCGTGTTGGAGGAGGGGACCATAAGCCTTTCTGTCCTTCATACATAGGGGGCAGTGTGTGTGTGTGTGTGTGTGTATGTGTGTGTGTGTGTGTGTGTGTGTGTTTGTTCATTCAGTTACAGGTAGTTATCATTTAAACATCTCTCCCACTCTGTTAGCAAGGGTGTGAGATCAAACAAGCTTTAAGTTTTGCAAAGTGCTTTACATATGTTATCTATCACATAACATATATTTATTATATATAACATATGTTATATATATCATATATATGTTATATATAGCTATGTATTTTATACTTTCTAATTTGTGGTTAGCAATTACAATAATGATTTTTGTTTGGACCTGTGATTTCACCAGTGTAGTGATCTTCCAGAGAGGAAACTCCCTCCATTTATGCAGATTGGCGCCTTAACTGTAATTTATAATTTTAAAGAATCAGCCAGGGCCGATGAGATGTTAAACTATTTCCCTAGGGCCACATAAACAACACAGGTCAGAGGCAAGTCTGAAACCCAGGTCTTCCTGGGCCGGCGAAGCAGCAGCCAGCTGGTGGTTTTGTCCCGTGAGATTCTATATGTAGCCAACTCCAAACTAATCCACAGAAACCCTAGCACTTGGATTCGCCTTCTCTCCAGATAATCCCTAAACCCCATTGCCAGAAGGAGCAAAGTAGGGCTTTCTCCAAGCCTTGATTTTGCCCTGAGGAACTGGATGCTGCAGGCAAAATTGGGCTGTTAGGCAGACTATTCACTGTGTATAAATTGCTTCATTTTGTGCTTAGTTACAAGTGTGTCGGGGCGAGAGCTAGCCCCGAAGCCAGGAAGGTCTGGGTGAAAGTCTCACCTCTGATCCATACTGGTTATGTGACTCTGGAGAAGTCTCTCAAAACTCTCAGTGCTCCCTTCAACTCTGCAGAATTCTCTGATGTAGAACAGTTGCAGATATACATTGGCCAGAGGGGGATTTCCTCATCAGGAGGTCCCTATATTGATGAAATTGCAGGTTTGGACCAAAAAGATTGCTTCATTTCTCTCTATTTCTCTTTGTCTCTGTCTCTCCCTCTCCCTCCCTCTATCTCTTTTTCTCTCTCTGTATCTGTCTCTCTTTCTCTGTCCCTCCTTCTCTCTGTCGCTGTTTCTGTCTCTATTTCTTTTTGTCTCTCTCTCTCTCTCTGTCTCTCTCTTTTTCTCTCTCTGAATCTGTCTCTCTGTCCTTCCCCCTCTCTGTCCCTTTCTCTGTCTCTCCCCCTCCCTCTCTCTGTCTCTCTCTTTTTCTCTTTCTGAATCTGTCTCTCTGTCCCTCTTTCTCTGTCTCTCTGTTTCTGTCTCTTTCTATTTCTTTTTATCTCTATCTCTGTCTCTCTCTTTTTCTCTTTCTGAATCTGTCTCTGTGTCCCTCCCTCTCTCTGTCTCTGTTTCTCTCTCATTTATGCCCATTAGCATAGGCCCGAGTTCCTCTGGCATTCCCTGTTTTGTCCTTTCCACAACCTCTGTGACTGCCCACTTCTACAAGGGCATGCTGTGCTCTCTATTTGGGTTTCTAAGTGCCATGGTAATTGAAGCATTACCCCACCAAATGTGTTATCTTCATGACAAAATGTCAGGATTCTATTAGGATGCAGTAGCGATATTTTTGTAAAACAATATCTATCAGGGCAATATTATGCCGGCACAGGGTTGTTTCTGTCCTGTGTTTTTAAAGAGGGTGATGCTTGGCCCCTTAACCCCTAATGGACTTGTGGCAACAAAGAAGCAACTAGGAATTTTCAAACATGGGATAAATTCAGTTGAGGAGGGCAGGGAAGACTTGGGGAGATCCCTTAGGCCCCTGATATGGTCATTATGGGGAGACAAATATCCTAAATAGGCCCTTGTGGGAAAACACCCTAGGAGACCGTAGCTGGGAAGACTAAGGGTGAAGGGAGCAGGATGGGAGCAGAATGGAACCAGGCCACGAAAAGTACACCTGGAATGTGGGAAGGCCTCTGAATCTCACCTGAGGTTGAATGTCCCAACACTGATCTTATCTTTCCCTATTACTACTCATTTAACCCTGGGCAAGTCACTTTCCCCATACCTCAGTTTCTTCATCTGTAAAATAAGAGGAAAGGACCTCTGAGGTCCTTCCAACTCAAGAACTCTGATCCTTATGATCTCCTATGAAAGGCATGGTACAGGTCTTCAGATCCATCAAGGTTAGGTACAATAATTCTGAGAGATGGGATGACCTGACTGCAGTCCTGGCCTGCATACCTATAGCATCCCACTAACTCTACTCCTCCAAGAGGTTGTGGAAGGTGGC